AAAGTGGCCAAGGCTGAGAAACACCGCTTTAAACTCATCCTTTCTGGAAGACGTGCTGGCTGGGGAATTCTGGGAGTTGTAGTCCACCCATCTTAAAGTGGCCAAGGCTGAGAAACACCGCTTTAAACTCATCCTTTCTGGAAGACCCCGTTGGGTCCAGATCAAGACCTTTGCTGTGACCCTTCCCTCATCCCAAAGACCTTCTTTTCCTTTCCTCTTGTCGGATAGGCTGCAACCCCTTGGAACGCCAGCCTCTTCCAGTTGCTCCTCCCGGTCGTGGGAATCCACCAAAGTGGAGGTGCTAAGAGAATTTAAAATCCAGGCTCAGTGCCTCCAATCATTGCCCAGCAGCCCTCCGTCAGCACCGCCTCGGCCCCACGTCTTCCCAAGAGATGCATCATCTCCGAATTTCTGCGCCCGCTCTTTCCTCTGAGAAACCGGAGAAACAGACAGCATGCCGAGGCTGGAAGCAGAAACCGGTGGGAAAAGGGGTGAGCTGAACTTTCAAAGGGACAAAAGACAGCGATCGGGGTTTGCTGATTAGTTTGGGGAGAGCGTTCCTCTTTCCAGCCAGGTAAGTTGTAAAACTTCTTGCTCTTTTCCTCTTTTAAAGTACCAAGGGTGCAGTAGTCTAGGCCCCTGGGGGTCCCCGAGACCCTTGAAGGGGTCTGCGAAGTCAAAGAAAAAAATCTTTTAGAACGTCTCCATTTCAAACACAGGAAATACTGATAGGTGTAACCCAGGTAAAGCAAAGCCCTTTGGGGTCCTCAGTCATTGTCAGGAAGGTAAAGGGGTCCGAAGACCCAAATGTTGGGGAACCGCCAGCCTAGACCATCAGGAGGGCAGCGGGTGGCTCTGCAGTAGAGGCCTCTCAATGGAGGCTAAAATAAAGGAAGTTTTTAAGAATGACACCGATCCAATCTTTAGATCTGGCACCTCTTAAATATGTGATCTTTCCATTCTGCCTTTTTTTATCATACCCCCCCACCCCTTTTCATTTTCAAGAAACCCTTCCTTCCTTCCTTCCTTCCTCCCTCCCTCTTTCTTTCTCCTCCAGTCCCTTTTTCCCACCCTCCTTCCTTTTCCCCTCTTTCTTCCTACTTTCTTTTCCTTCCTTCCTTCCTTCCTTCCTTCCTTCCTTCCTCCCTCCCTCCCCTTTCCATCTTTCCTTCCTTCCTCCCATCCTAGTCCACAGTCCGGGGGCAGCACCCAACAGAGTAAACTTAGCAATTACAAACAACAAAGAAAAAACAGACAGGGAT